ACAAAATACCCTTCATTGGTGTCTGGATAGGTGTTGATATGGATTTACACAGTTGAAGGTGTGATTTGTTGCCAAATTACCCCAAAAAAACAAAAATTTAAAACATTGCAAACCTTTTGTTTTGCTGCACCTGGCATGTATTTAGCTGATTAAACTGAGAGTTCAATTGGACATTATTGATACTTATCATTGGTAAAACTTGGTTAAAAAATACTGTAATCAAATCAGTTTATAGCAAGCATGATTAGCTCAACAAAAGTAATGCAAAGCCAAAAAACGAAATATTAAAGGTTCACTGCTATCACTGCTAATACAACTGACAGTAGTGAATTTGCAAAGTGTATTTGGCAGAAACATTTCAAAAACAAGATTGATATTCCTGGCACCTGAACGGATTAAGGTCTTTCAAAATGCGGTTACCCACCATATACTACCAAATTGAAGTGATTCCACCAGGATGTCCTCATGAATCTGCTGCAAAGCCTCCATAAGAAGAGTAACTTAAGCAGCATTAGATGAAAAATGTGGTGAGCTATGATCAACCTTCCCACCTCCTCTTTGCTGTCTGAGTTATACCAATGTATGACATGCTCTAACAATGCTTGTATTACTTTACATACAGATGCTTCACCACATGGGAGAATCCTCCTAGTTGAATGTAAACTATCTTCACTGGTGAAACTACCTTCATAGGGAAACAGTTCTGTATTTCAGCCATCGTAGCTGACCCAAGACAGAGGACACTGGAGAAAGAACCAAAGCGGGAACAGTGGCCCAGTGGTCTCTCATGAGTGGTAAGTGGGAGCCACAACATATTGCAACTACATTAGTAATGTCATATTACAATCATAATAAGTTCTTGTGTAGCATATCAATATTTAAAGCTAAAATGAAAGTAGATATAAAAATACTTCAATTTATTCAGCTCTGTATTCATTAACCTCTTGCCGTCCGCCCGTAGTAAAAAAAATCAACTGGTTAAAATGTATTTTTAAAAACAATACCCATGTAATTTGACCTGTAATCAGTGTCTTGCAATCCTCTGCAACGGAGTGTTGATAGGAGCAGAGAGTAGAGTCACTAAGGGGTCTATTCAAAAAGCAGCCGAAGGATCTAGCCGTAGCTTCGGCCGATCCTTCGGCTAGCTTCGGCCCCAGGACCCCTTCGGTTCAGTAGAACCGAAGGGCTGCTGTACGGGATATTCGCAATAGCCCGTACAGCTCCCGAACTTAGCCAAGCGGCTCAGTCAAGCCCGAAGGCATATGCCTCGGCTCGGCT